CAGAAACAACCACCGAGTCACCCTCCCCCGCAAACTCCACCGCCTCAATCCGCGACATGTGTCCGCTCCACCGTCGCACCGTAATCCCTTGCTCGACATCCCAGAGGAAGACCTGGCGGTCGCCGCCGACGCTGGCGAACCGCGCGTTGTCCGCGGCGACGGCGATATCGAGGACAGTGTAGCCGTGGGCTTCGTACTTCTGGATGGGGGTAGAGGTCTCCGTGGGTGAGGAGCCGCTGTTATTGGTGATCGCACGCGACAGGTGTACTGCGCGATCTGCGGCTCCGCTTAGGACGTAGGTGCCAGGATAGCTGGAGAATGTAACGGCGTTGACCGGTCCTGCGTGCTTAAGTGAGCGTTCGGGGCTTGATGCGGAGAAAAGGGATCTTTTATTCGGCGCTTACCATTGTGTGTTTTGAGGACATGAGTTAATGTTGTGGGAAATTGTTTTTTCAAAGGCATTGAGGGATTCCTGTTTTCCTGAAGGTAATCAAGAAGCTGTGAATTAACAGAGAGTGATAGAAATGAAGGTAAAGAGAGAATGGATGAGACGATTGTTGACAATGATGAAATTCCTGACCGCCTGCCTTAAACAGAATGATCTACATATCTACTTGTACATTCCACTTAGTGTAGAAGATCTACTCCATTTGAATACATAGCAGCATCCACAATTAGTTTGTATTGACATGCTACGCAGTTCAAAGAGGTGATTATCGAGGTGTAGACAAACCATCGCTAGCTACCAGCAAGCAACAATAATAATAATCAAACAACAAGCACACGAAGGGAAACCAGTCGAGGTTCAGCCGGGGCACGGTGCCCGACGATGGATGCCTCTGAATACGCACAACGAAAGCCGAAAAGAATATGATAGAAGAAAATGGGGGTAGTCAGATGTTAAACAATATTAGTCGAGTCGAATAGCAATCCGTCTTTCTGCTTTTATCACCGTCTGTCAAACAACCACTGTCATCGCGGTGACGCCATGGAACCTTAACGGCGGCCATGGCTGCGGGTCGAGGAGCCTTGCAGGGACTCGATTTCTTCCTTGAGCGCCGTGATACTGCTCCATGTTAGTATCGTTGCAGCAGATCGAGGGTAACGGAACCATAACATACGCGGCATGGGTCGCCTCCAGATCCTTGTTGAGACGGTCTCTCTCGGAGATAAGCTTCTGCTCCCACTGTCGGAACCGCGATTCCTCGACCTTGACCTGCTCGGTGAATCGCTTCCGCAGGTTCTCCTCCTCCTCCTTGAACTTGGGGTTGTCCAGCTTCCGCGGCCGCGCCTCTCCGAATTTCCGCGTCTCCATCTGCTGGGCACGGTAGGCCTCGTAGTGCTGTTCTTCTGTAGTGTGGATGAGGTCGAGCATGTGGGTGCGGATCAGAATCGAACGGAGCTTCTTGAAATCGCAGTGATCCTCGTTCTCGACTTCGGCAACACCCCAGGCGTACTGACGGCCCTTGACGACACGGTTGTCGCTGGTCTTCACATCCTTCTCGGATCCAATCACAGCGAAGGGCATAGCAGCCGCCAGGGTGCGGGCGTGGGCGGCAGCGTGCTCATCATCATCCTCAATAGGGGGAGTGTAGATCTTGATGCCCTGGGCCTCGATCACGGCTTTGACCTAAACAAATTGAGCGTCAGTGGTATGATGCAGACAACCGGGGCTACCACATACTCTCTGCTTGTAACGGGCAAGATCGGCGGGGCTAAGGGTATCGGCCTTGGCGATGACGGGGATCAGGTTGACGCGGGAGCTCAGACGCTTCATCACTTCGATATCGAGGGGTTTCAGGGTGTGGCCGGTGGGGCGGATGAAGTACAAGCAGGCATGCACACGCATGTCAATTTTATCCGTGCGGCGGGGCTGCTGCTCCTGCAGCATGTAAGACTCATGCTGGTCATCGAGGAACTCAATGATGGGTTGCCAGGAGTCACGGTTGTTGACATAGTCTCCGAAGCCGGGGGTATCAATGACAGTCAGGCGGACTACATGAGAGGGGCTCCAGGGTCAGTGCTGGTCCGCAAAGCGGGGGAGATCCATCATGAACCTTTGAAGAACTTCTCTTCCAACTCGGCCTTGGTAATTTCGATTTCAACAGTGCGATCGATTTGCTTCTGGTGACGACGCTTGTGGTCGGCGTAGTTCTTGATAGTCGTGGAGAACAGAGTGTTGATAAACGTGGTCTTTCCCAGTCCCGACTCTCCAGCAACCTGTCCGACGTATGAGCATCAATTCTGGAAATCGCACGTAAACTTCAATTGGACGAACCATGATGGTGAAAGCCGCACCCCGCTTCGCGACGATCTTGTGTCTGTATAGCTTCCGTTAGAATCGACAATGCGATCTGAAGAGGCTTGGTTGGTACGAACCGCTGGTTGGGGAGCTATTGCAATAAAATCCGTTAGCCATTGGCCTGGATGGTTATAATATAAGATGAATACTTACATTGGCAATACCAATGGGAGAAGCGGTCTCGGTGGAGGCCATGGTGGTTAAAGGGGTCAATCGGAGATAGAAAACAATCCAGATAACACAACAAAGAGGGCGGTCGCGAATGAACCAGACAGGACCGGAGGAGAGAGATTGAGGGGACTGCAGATCCGTCCAGCAGAGCGTTGGTGGATGGACTGGATCGACTGGAATGGAATGGAAGGGGAGGAATGAATGAGAATGAAATGATATTTGGATTGTACCATATGGAGAAGATGGAGGAGGTTGAGGGAAGCTGCCCCTGAATCGCTGACTCAGCGGGAGACTGCAGACAAACAGTGCAAACAGCTCCGCCCCAATCGAGACTAGCCCCCTCGGCGCGGATTAACTCCCGCTCTTATCATGTCCCGTTTGGGATTTTTTTGATGCTTCCAACGAGAAAGCATATCGGACTGCGCCTGGGACGTGTTTGCGGCCTGCCGACCATGAAGACCGATTTCAAGGTATTTATTCCTCAATACCTTCGTCGTTTGCCCATATCTCACTATAGCTGCACAGTTTTCCAATCTCCTCGGGACCGTCTATCGCAAAGGAAACCTCCTCTTCACTCCCGATGGCTCCTGCTTGCTCTCCCCCGTAGGCAACCGGGTCACCGTGTTTGACCTCGTCCAGTACGTTTGAATCGCCAGTCTCCTCTCCGTGGTTTGATTATGCTCATGCGACTACAGCAATACCTCCTACACCCTTCCCTTTGCGCATCGAACCAATATCGACCGTCTGGACCTTTCTCCCCGCGGGAACCTGCTGCTGACCGTCGATGAAAATGGTCGTGCCATTTTGACGAATTTCCACCGCCGAATTGTCATTCACCACTTCTCCTTCAAGGGTCGTGTCTCCGCGCTCAAGTTTTCTCCCTCTGGCCGATTCTTCGCCGTCGGTGTCGGTCGTCGCTTGCAGTTCTGGCACACCCCGTCGACGCCCGGGACGGATAACAATGGAGAGCTTGAATTTGCACCATTTGTCTTGCACCGTGACCTTGCCGGCCATTTTGATGTGATCCAGCACCTCGAATGGTCCAGTGATTCCCGTTTCCTCCTTACTGCCTCGAAGGATTTGACTGCGCGAGTATGGAGTCTGGATCCGGAAGACGGTTTTGAGCCAACAACGCTGGCGGGGCACCGTCAAGGTGTGAAGGGGGCATACTTCTCTGCCGATCAAGAATCTGTGAGTATAGTTACGCATGCATCTAGACTCTCATCTGACTAGATCCCAGATCTACACTGTTAGCTCGGATGGGGCTCTGTTCCGATGGGAATATGTGTCCAAGAAGGACCCCGATACGATGGAGGACGTTGCGGAACCCCGGTGGAGAATCGTCAAGAAGGACTACTTCATGCAGAATGATGCCAAAGTCAACTGCGCTGCCTTCCATGCCCCAACGAATCTTTTGGTTGTTGGATTCTCCAATGGCTTGTTCGGACTATATGATTTGCCAGAGTTCAACATGATTCATCTGCTAAGGTATGAATTCTCTCTCCTCAATTTCTGTTGGGCACAGTTATAACGCGTCGTAGTGTATCACAGAGCAACATCGATAACGTCACAGTCAACAAGTCTGGTGAATGGCTAGCCTTCGGCTCCTCAAAACACGGCCAGCTGCTGGTGTGGGAATGGCAATCAGAATCTTACATCCTGAAACAGCAAGGCCATCTGGACTCCATGAACTCTCTCGTGTACTCCCCCGATGGTCAGAAGATCGTGACTACAAGCGACGATGGAAAGGTCAAAGTCTGGGATGTAAAATCTGGTTTCTGCATTGTGACCTTTACTGAGCACACGAGTGGTGTTACCGCTTGCCAATTCGCAAAGAAGGGAAGCGTTCTGTTCACATCATCGCTGGACGGCTCCGTACGAGCATGGGATCTGATCCGGTATCGCAATTTCCGAACGTTTACTGCTCCTTCTCGACTATCTTTCTCATGCCTTGCGGTCGATCCAAGTGGTGAGGTGGTCTGCGCAGGGTCCCCGGATTCGTTCGATATTCATGTATGGTCGGTACAAACAGGTCAGCTACTTGACCAACTGTCCGGCCACGAAGGACCGGTCTCTGCTCTGGCTTTCGCTGCCGATGGTAACCACCTCGCTAGCGGTAGTTGGGACCGCACTGTTCGCCTTTGGAGCATTTTCGGAAGAACGCAAACCAGCGAGCCCCTGCAACTTGTCTCGGATGTTCTGAATGTGGCTTTCCGGCCAGATGGCAAGCAGGTAGCTGCATCGACTCTGGACGGTCAGCTAACATTCTGGGCTGTGGAAGATGCTGTGCAAGAAGCGGGCATCGATGGTCGCCGGGACGTCTCTGGCGGCCGCAAGCTCTCGGATCGTACGACTGCTGCTAATGCCGCAGGCAACAAAGCCTTTAACTGCATCACCTACAGCGCTGATGGCAGCTGCATCCTGGCTGGTGGTAACAGCAAGTATATCTGTCTGTACGATGTACGAACAGGTTCGCTGGTGAAGAAATACACCGTCTCAGTCAACACCTCCCTCGACGGTACTCAGGAATTCCTCAACAGCCGTGATCTGACCGAAGCGGGTCCTAGAGGTTTGATTGATGGGACAGGGGAGGCATCTGACCATGAAGAACGTGTCGACCGTAATCTCCCTGGTGCCAAGCGTGGTGATGCTGGTGCTCGCACCACCCGACCCGAAGTGCGAGTTATGTCAGTCGACTTCTCCCCGGCCGGACGCTCGTTCTGTGCCGCTTCCACCGAAGGGCTTCTCATATACAGTCTGGACACAGATTTCGTGTTCGACCCATTCGATCTCGACATCTCTATTACTCCCTCGAGCATTCTTGCTACTCTGGAAGCCGCAAAGACGGCATATGCGAAGGGCACGACAGATGACGAGAACACATTCCTGAAGGCCTTGATCATGGCTTTCCGACTCAACGAACACAAACTCCTTCGTGCTGTCCATGAATCCATTCCTCCGTCCGACATCCCTCACGTGGTTCGCAATGTCCCGACTGTCTATCTCCCCCGTCTTCTGCGCTTTGTCGCCCACGCTGCCGAAGAAACGCCCCATCTCGAGTTCAACCTTCTTTGGATCGAATCCATGCTGAGTAGTCATGGCCGATACTTCAAGGAGAACTCGGGCACATTCGCACCCGAACTTCGTGCTGTCCAGCGCGCCGTCGATGACATCCGCGAGAACCTGAAGCGTCTCACGGAGAGAAACACCTACAACCTCAATTATCTGCTCTCCCAGCCTGTTCTTGGCTCCAAGGAACCGAAGGGTATGACTCTGGAGCTGGTTGAGAGCAATGGCGTTGCAGACGAAGCTATGGACGATGCAGCGGACGACGCTGAAGAGTGGATTGGCCTGGAATGATGAGATGTTTTGCTGTAATTATACGCACTTTCTTGTTCTTCTACCCTCGCATTTGCGTCTGGCGTTTGATGACCTGGTATACCTGAGGATAAGGTGTCGCAAAAGTTTGGGATTTTGAGTCTTGTGGTCTGCTGATAGACATGATGTATATACATCAAGAATTGTGATAATAATGAAAGTGTCCCAAAATATTGGTTTCTTTGGGCTCTTAATGTGAATGAGACGTGAATTTGCGCAAGTTCCCGCATCTTTGCTGTATTCACGACAATGCCGCTCATACAGAGCAGCTACAGTCCGTGAATGGTATCGCCAACCGCCTACTATATAAACCGATTGCTACAGCCACAACATTGCTTTTTCTTTTATTCTCTTCCATATTCTCCCCGCAGTCCTTATCATCATCATCATCTCACACTTTAACATCTACCGTTCAGGATGGGAGCAGGTTCTCTCTACATCCTGTTGCCTGTGCTCTTGGGCTACATTCTGGTCTTCTATCATGCACTGAGCATCTCCAGGAAGACCAAGAACAACATCCCTATACTCAAGCATAGTCGCTTCCTCCCTGACTGGATCAACCGCCGCATCTTTTTCCTCAACGCACCCGCTCAGATCCAGTATGGCTACGACAAGTACAACAACATGCCCTTCCTCGTTCTCAGACCAGACCATGATCTTCTTGTCCTGCCTGCACGTTATCTGGCAGAGATTCGCCAGATTCCCTCTTCAAGGCTCAATCTGATTGAGGCCGAATACAATGTACGTACCTTCTACCCCAGGTCTAGAAGTCACCAAGGTAGTAACATCAGCATGGCAGAACATCCTTGGCGACTACACCAACATTTTGAAGGATAGCGAAT